TCCTTTGGCTGTATAAGTTTATACTGGCTGTCACGGATGATTCACTTCTGGTCGCAATCTATGTCAAAGTCATGGTGTGGAATAGAAAAATCGGTATGCTTAAGTTAGGATGTATCTGCTGTGAAACCCAGTTAAGTCTTTTGCTGTTGCTTTCCATTCAGCGTCTAGCTAAAATAACAGTATCATAGCTGTCACTTAAAATAATACTTTTTACATTCAAGCACGTTAGAGGTATTTTAGGAACCAAATATAAACATGGTGGTGTTATTATTTTGTATATGTAGATCATGTGGGATCTGTGCATGCCACTGAAATTAGGAGTAGTAATGATCCAGAATTAACTAGGTGCCTTCCTGCCAGCAGTAGCTGACAGCATTCTGTAATATACAGAAAAAGATACATGTTTTTGTGGAGTGAAATTTCAACAACTGTTCTCTTTTAATAAATAATCTACTTCCTGCATTTTATATACTTAGTTGTTAGCTGATCTGTTTTAAATGCCTAGGCTGGAAACACAGCACTGCGTCGATATATTTAACTGGCCAAATTCAAGGACGCAGTCAACCATTTGTATAAACAAGGGTCCTTCTGAGATTTGTTTGGGATCTTGGATGGATTTTATTTGTCGTGTTTGTCATTGGAAATTACAGCCAGGTAGGATGACACTACTTTTCTTTCTTTTCTATTAAGTCCTATGAAAGGTAGATTTTCCTGACCCAGTAAGGAACGATCGTAGTCAGATGGCAATACACAATTTAGCAGCACAAATATCTGTTAGAAATTTTGGCTTGCTTTTCTTGCCCCACTCTGTATTTTGGGCAGATGGACACTAGCTGTTGATTGGCAGGTCTGAGAGTGGAGCAGCAGGGTAAAGCAGGTGTGCTAGCTGAGCAGCGTGGGGGCTCCTGTGTATCTTCTCCCCCTCTTACGCTTGGTTCTTTTAGTGAGACTGTTTGCTGCATGAAAGATCATACATTTACAGAGAGCTGTTGAAAAGGTGATGGGGAGCATAGAACAGGGTGCATAGCTATTGATGATTCTTCAGGACTGGACTCGGAAGGTCAGTTTCAAATAATGAAACTAATAAATGAATTTTTAAATAATGACTTGGACTAACGAGGTTTATAAGGTCTTATTTTACGGGTTATGTTTCCTTATCGCAACTTGTGTAATTACCTTCCCTCAGGGACGGGAGGGGGTCTGCTCTCTGGCACTTTGAATTGGGTACACATGACTTACTGTTGAGCCTTACTTTATTGAGTCTGTTTCTACTATCTTGCTGCTTTTATTTGGCCGCTTATGGGAGTGGGTTCAATTAGCTTTGAAAAGCTCTTTTTCGTGTAAACAGTGTGTTTTCATAATGGCCTTCTATTGTGTAGAATCACCATTAGGTCAGCAAGGTAAAACAATGATGCAGATGCGCCATGAAACATTAAAAAATGTAGACTCCTGGAATATGTCATTAGCTATCTTTTTTAAAAAATGCAGCACGTTTAATGTCAGGGCTTCTGCGGGAGGCAAAGAGAAAGCATTTCTTGAAGTGGTCATGTGCAACCCTGTTCTGTTGGCACGTCTACAATAGGTTAAAAAGCACATACTGCTTACCTATTCAAACTCTAAACCAATTGTCTTTCTTGGGACATATCCCTTTTAAATGCAGAGGCTGCTCCTGAGCAGCAGAAGCCCAGTGAGTGAGAAAATGAGACCGTTCCACCCCGTCCCACCCCCCCGTCCATGCCTCTGTGTACAGGCTGGCCGTAAGGGAAAGGCGTGATCCTAGTGACGGCACTGTGGGTGCACTCCTGCTCTCACAGCCAGCGGTGCCTTGCGAGGAGTAGTGAGAGGCAGCGCCTGAGCGAAGAGACCCTTCTGGAGCCCAGACCACCATGCAGAGAGACTTCAGTATTTTCCTGGAGAGCCAGATGGGATCTGGCAGGCCTGTGCTCAGCCAAAGCTAATACACTCTTGCTGACCTCATGCTGATCTGTGTGTAGCTATGGATGTGTACCAGCACTTACCTCGTCAGGCCTACCAGCTCAAGAATCGGGCTTCATGAGTTAACTTAGAAATGCTGAACTGCCCCTGGATGCAAAGGTGCTCTGGGAAGTGCTGCATTAATTCTGTGTTGTGCCAGCAAGTCCTCCTGGACCTGGGCTTCAGCACCATTCTTGGGGCTTGGTGTGTCCCCAAGCTGTGTGCATATAGGTGTAAAATTGAGAATAGATTATAGTAGGGTGTTTTGTGATGCTTTTTATTTCCTCAACTTACAGTACCTATAGAGATCCCGATGGGGATGACTGTCTGCCCCCTCTAGTACGTTAACCCGTTTTGTCGAGTCTAGTTGCATTGTATTGTTGCATCTTTTGGGGTATATTGCAACAACATGTTTGGAACATGAGAGAGACTGATGAGATGTTAGGATAATCTTGTTTGCACGGAGGGTGGTTAAATGCTGGAACGGGCTGCCCGGTGAGGTTGTGGAATCTGTGTCCCTGGTGGTGTTCGAGACTCAGCTGGAGGGGGCTCTGAGCAGTCTGATCTAATTAGCCCTTTTTTGAGCTGGGGGTTAGAGTAGATGACCTCCTAACGTCCTTTCCTATCTCAGTTACTCTATTGTTTTGTGGTATTTTTAGCTTTTATTCCTCAAGTTCCACCAAAGTGAAAAGTAGCTTTCCCTTCTGTGAGTTATAGGTTCACATGCTGAACATTTGTCTAACCAAGAGATCTACAGAGTTTCACGCTTAATGCTGCGTTGATTTAATGTGCGGTAGTGGTGGCCTTATCTGCTGCATCTCTTTTAACACTTGTTTAATGCCATAAAAGCTGAAATGTCACCAAAGAGTTGTATTGTGGGGAACAGCATAACAAAGGGTAAATGAAACTAGATTTCTCTTCTCTAAATGTATTTTAAATTTCTCCTGAATCAGAACTGTCTCTGACTTAATTAGCTTGGGCTCCCATAAGTCGACTTTACTCTTACTGGAATAGCTAGATGCAGCTTGAGAAGTATGAAGTGGAACTCTTGTGGAAAATAGACCTATTTAGAGGGAGGGACGGAAAAAATATTGTTCCCAAAGCAGCCAGAGTGTTTAGTGAAAAATGTGCTGGGTGGTAGGAGAGGAAGAAGCGTCCTAGTTTCCTACTAGCTGTATGCAAAACTGTCACATTTCAGTACGTTGGATGATGACACAGAGAGGATGATACGAAGAATGACACCTGGAGTGGTATTCACTTAGGATCTTGGCTGGGACCTCCTTACAGGGTGTGACTGGTGAGCTGTGGGTGAGCCACGAGCAGGCGTGTTCACGTCTGGCTCCTCTGGTCTTCTGTTCCGCTGCCTCACCCTCGGACCTGAAAGCTACTCAGTGGAATAATTAAGAGTTAAGAGACTTTTGGGGATGAAAAGCAAAAAGTTTAAGGAAGAGGAGGAGATGCATTGCACGAGGTATGGCTAAAGTAGAATGAAGGGCAGGGAGAACAGAGTGATCCTGAAGTCTGTGAGAAGAGGTAGGAAGATGTGTTAAAGGGAAGTAGAGGCAGTAACCTCAAAGGAGAATGAAGTTGAGACAAATGAGATGGACAGGCATATCTAAGACCTCCGAGAACCTACTTGCAGAAAATAGACTGTCTTAGATGTCATGTTACAGTTAAATAGTGCATACAGTAAGGAAGCACGTATTGTATTCCTCAATTTACAAATGGCTTGGTGAGCAGCTGTTAACACTGGCTAGTAGGTCTAGTGATTTGGCTGCTATATGGGGCGTATGTATGTATTCATATATATGGGGGGGTTATATATATACACACATACATATGTATTCATTTTTACATCCTTTTCTAAACTATTTAATTTACTGGGAAACAAGTACAGCTGGAAATACCAATGATCTGCAGATGTCATTGCAGAGGCAAATTGCTGTTAGGACTTTGGATGGACACTGCTGAAAACGTTTAAATGAACTAAAAATAACCACATGTAGCATAAGAGACATTGTATGTGAACTGATACTTCATGAGTCATTTCCTGCAGAAAGTGTTATGCAAAGCTAACTGTTAGAGGGGGTGTATGTATATGATTATATATAAAATTAAGAGCAGGCTGTGCCTTTTTCCGAGGTTCTCTGTGTGGCTCTGCTGGTTTGGAGTGTGAACATGATTATCGGTATTCTGCTTACAAACAATGCTCAGATTTAGATATTGGCTATTGGAAATTGTGATGGTCCTCTGTGGTGTATTTTCCCTTGAGACTGACTATAAAGTAGGCCACACATTCTAAAAAATTCCTTGAACGGAGGAACTATTTGCTGCTCTGAATTGTGCTTTAAAATTTAACATTTTAACAATTATTTAACTAAAAAAATAAAATAACCAAAATGAAACAAACCACTAGATGGATGGATGTCTCTCAAAGACAGCTTGTGTGCAGCTACTGTGTGCTTGCTTGAGCTGGTAGTCTGTCTTTTGATAACTGAAAACTACTGATAACAGTGAAACGTAACTAGTTACTTTAGATATCAGTGTTAACGATTTCATTGCTGGCTGTATTTTATCACCTAGGTCATGTGGTCTATGCACAGTTGGAAATGGCTGTATTTCACTGGCCAAATCTCTGGTTTCTGTCCTAAAATCCATTCATCTCTCTGATTGTAGTTGAACACTTGCAATACAAAATTCTGCTATGAGTTGAGAATCAATTTTAGCATAGGAATCGTATGATAAAAATCTTGTTAAAGTTAGTGCAAGAACAGTTTAAGGATTATGTTTTTAAGTAGTAAAAATCTATTTACTGTTTTTGTTTGTTTGGTTGGTTTTTTTTTTTTTGGACACTTCCACCTAGAAAAAGGATTTTAATAAAAAAAAAAAACTCAAAAAACTTTCACAGAGTCTGGCTCAAACCTGAACTATGAAACATGGGATTCAGTTTTCATCTTGACCGGTATTTTGTTGTTGCCTTCTGTACTGTATCTGTAATGACAGACTTCTGGCTTCCTTCTTTATAGGCTCAGATTATTCCTCAGTGGGATGGTTACCTGGTACTGAATCCCTGTGGCAGTCCACAACCATTTCATCAAGCAGTCAAAGCAATCCTGTCAGAAGACACAGTATAGCTTCCGACAGCGGGGACACTGGGATTGGTACCTCCTGTTCTGATAGTGTGGAAGGTGAGTTGACACTGTTAAGTTTTGGATGTTTCTGAGAGAGAAACGATCCAAAATGTTTTAAAGGTATGTTTCCCAGAATAACGGTACTTTTCCAAAGCTGTTGAGCGCATGCAGTTCTTTGTTTTCCTGGCTGGACCAAGTAATTGTTTTGGTGAGGTTTAATTAATTTACTTCTGCATGAGTTGTGTGCATTAACTTGCATCTCTGCCACAAAGCCAGTACTTGTGTTAGATCTTTTGATAATTGCAGTTACAAGGAGTGCCAGATGTATACAGAGAAGTAATATCCCATACTACAGCACTTGATAAACAAGTGGTAAAAGCAGAAAAACTTTTGAGGGAGTTGATGAAAGGACAATGCTTTCTGGTATTTACTGTGTGTGTCAGCAAAGAAAGCTTACTCCTTGGGGCTGGGAGGAAACTGGGGCGTGTTGTCTTCTCACTTCTTTTTTCTGGTGGGAAATATGTTTACATTTTATTGCGTGGCATTTGACACATAGTCAAAGATCTTTAAGGAAAGTCAACAGTATCTAAAGGTTGTTAAAACTTAGTTTGGATTAAATCACAATTACTCAAAGTTGATCTTATCAGTGAAGGGTTCAGCCTCTAAGGTAGCAGCATCTCCTTAACGTTGGCACTCTCCCTATGGAATGTGTCACTGGAATTATGCCTGAATGAGAGGGAGACTAGGCAATAATAAGGCTTGAGGTTTTCTTCTTCCTTGTTTCCCAGTAAGATTTTTCAAGACAAAGGTAATGACAGCGGGACCATGATATACTTTTCTCCAGCGCCTTTCTATGCTTGGTAAATTTTTCAAAGGGGTAGCTGAAATGAGGAAGAACAGGAAGAATTAGTAGAAAGGAAGTGAGGAATGCTGAATCAATGTAAGGGACAGAAGTCTCTATAGGGGGGATGAGCATTCCTGAGGAGAGGTCCAAATGCCTCAGAGTTAAGTCTGTCAGGCCTCTTTGCACATGAGGAAATCCTTTCCACCCTGTTCCTCTTGCATCTGTCAGTTGGAAAGGAACTCCCTAGGAGAGTCCTCATGGCTTGCTTTCTGCTTACTTTCATTTCTAAACCCCTATTGGCTTTGGCAAAATAAAGATTTTAGTCAAATACTCAAATTCTTGGGTGTAAAACTGAAATAGTAAATGGTTATTTATGCAGAAGCCTTATTGCTTTTTCTTTTCTTTTTTTAAATTTTTTTTTAAGAGATGTAGGGGGAATAAAGCTCTCTGATGGTGTGTGTATATATATGTGTGTATATATATATACAGATTTACAATCAGACTCAGTTGCACAATAGTATTTTTAAGATGCAGCATTTGAATTAAAAACATGCTCTCCCCTCCCCCCACTTTGAGGGCTTCCCCATTTGAGGGGTGGGAGGAAGGAGAGGAAATGAAACAGCACCTCCTCATCAGATCTCCTGCTGGCTGAAGAGGAGAACAGCCTGGGGGGGGGGGGATGGCACACTCCTACAATCACAAGTTTGATAGGCATTTGTCACCGGTTAACTATGTCCATTTGCATACTTTTAATAGAGCTTTGTTACAAGCGGCTTTTGGGGTTTCTAAAGTAAAATACAGAGGGAGAAAATGCAACAACAGATAGTTCATGAAGTTTGTGCCTCTGGCAATGCTTGACAATGGCCAGTTCTACCATATCCTCAATGTTATCGATTTCCTGCCACCTCGTTTGAAAAACTTTTCAGTAGCAGAAAAGAAAATGTTGAAGAAAAAAGGAGGGAAACCTAAATGTAAAATGAAAGCTAATAGAAGGAGCATATGACAGGTTTGGAAATTGAATGTATGCGTATGTTCTTAGTGGAAAGGGCTGATGCCTACTATACCTAGTTGTCTGCATATCTCAAGCTGCCCCCTCCCCGCATACACAAAAAGAAAAGAGTATCATTGTGATCGGTGGGACTGCCAGGCCAGACTGGTAATTGCAGACTTGATGCTGGCCATCTGCTCTCAATGTGGTGCTTGGGAAGAAGCCCTTGGGGATTTTTCCAAGGGGAATTTTTTTCACAAGTCAGCAGATCATTACAATTTTTAACAATGCTCAGAGAATGAAATGTGGCTTTGCTATTTCCTTTCTATTATGCCTACTAAAAATCAAAACTTTAATTTAAGAATTAACATCTGCTTTAATTCTGGAAGTTGCAGGTGAATTCATTTTTGCAGATGTGTAGTTACTAGTAAATATGTTGGTGCAGGGAGTGGAGCTCAGATGCATTTCAAAACTGTTTTTACTGGTTTTCCTTGCATCTTAAATGTTCCTTTAAATTCCTCTTCTTACTCATACTTCATTTGAGGAGCATTCGCTCTCTTTGAAAGTGCAGGTTTTAAAGAACAGTGCCAGGTGGCTCTTGTGTTTGGCTCAAACCTACATGGTTTGGAGCGGAGACGGGTTTTGACAAAGGCAAGAGGAAAAGAAGTCTCTTATGTTAAAATGTATTCAGTTAGTTGTCTCTATATTATGTTGTGCAAATGTAGGAAAATGAGGAAATGAAATGACTAGTTGAGTTTCATTATTGAAGTTGAGCAATGTTGATGTGCACTGGCAGAAGCTGAGGAGAGAAACTTAGAAATCGTAAATGTGGGGATGTTAGTTTAGGTAGAATAGATCTTAATTTCTCATTCAGAGTGCTCTTAATTTAAGGAGCCATGTAGAAAGGCATTTTTATCTCTGTGTAAACTACAGTTAATGTGGTTTGGTTGGTTGGTTTGTTTTCTGTCAGGAAGTGGTTCTGGATTCAGATCAGCTTTTGAGCGAGATAAAAATAATTACTGCATTCTGTATGGAGCAGGAGGAAAAAAATTTGATACAGTCTTTTCCAGGTTCTTTGCTTTTTAAACTTAACTCTACTTGTAAGTCAACTCTGTTACTACTGTTTTCAACTTATCCTGTATAAGTCTGACTGAATAGTTTTACTCTTGGGCATTGATTGCAGCTAGTCTTCAGAAAAAATCTCATATTCTCTGTTAAGAAATATGGTGGAATTGAAATGTAGAGCCCTATGAAACTGTTGAAAAGTTCCTGCATTCCTGATAGAGCAGGAGGTTGTGTTCAGGATGAATCATGTGGAAGAAGAGGTTTTAGTTGGTGGCCAACAGCTGATCAACTACCAGCGAAGACTATCTGAACTTTCTTGTTCTTGTTTTTCTTCTCACTGGCAACTCTGAAATTGGCAGACGCAACATATGTGGCTTATGCTTAGAGGGACAAAAGATCACTCCCAAAGTCAAAAAAACTAACAGCTGTGCTACGTGTAGGCCTTTACATATAGATTGCCTCTTAAACCTCAGACTTAGACCAAAAGATTGTTGATATTATTTCAGAACTGAAGCTAAAAGAGGAAACAAGGTTCACGGGAGGTGGGTGGCAGAAACAAGCCTCTCTTGTAATGAAGAAGTGCAGGTACGAAGTTCTGAAAACTTCCAGTTGCAGGATCTTGTGTCTTGTCTTTGTGCAACTCAGAAGTCTTTCAAATTGAAGCAGATTCCAGAAAGACTTGTAAAATGAATATTTAGAATTCTTTTGATTTGGGAAACGTGATGGTAAACTTACAAATTATGAATTCTCTAATTCTCAGTCTATATAAAATGCATGGTCTAGATTGAAGTGCTGCTTTTACAATTTAGAATGTCTATTGGGGAAAAAGGTGTGAGATACTGTAGGGACATGTGCAAAGCATTCATGAAGCACGATGTTTCCTATTCTCCATCAGCAATAATAGCATTTATACTTACAGCTTTAAATAACCATTGTGACGCCTATGCTGGTCATCCATCAGTCTCTGTATAACCATTCTTTCAGTACCATTTACATAAGAAACATGAAGTCTGTATTGTAAGCATTTCTGAGACTGTTTTTATTTGGGTTGCTTAATTAGGGAATCTGTGTCTTATCAGAAATGAAATGGGCTGTAAACCTCAGCAGAGCTCTTTCCCCTGTGCACATTCTGAGTTTTGCCTTTTGAACAGGAGGGATAGGAACTAGGTATTGATATGACAAGATACAGGGCCTATGGCTTTTGCAGGCCAAAACATTTTCCTCCATCAGATAAGCTTGCTGTGCAGTGGAAAGTTCCTTACAAAGCAGATCTTTCTCCCTTATTATTAAATAGGATTCTTGATTTACTATTTCTGGTTGCAAATTAATAAGCATTCATAGAATGCTGCTTTCCTGAAAGAGAAAGAATTGGATGCAGGGGAGCAGAGTTACTACTTTTTAACTGGGGAGTTGATGTTCTGCTAGTTCAACTTTTTAAAAAAACTTATGTTTTAAAATCTAAATAGGCATGGTCTAGTCACATTTTAAAATACTGTTCCATAACTATATGTAGAGGTTGCCTTTGAGAGAGGAGTTTCACAAGTAGTGGTTCAGGGAGTATTGTGGACTAGATGCACCATGCTTGATAGATAGTCACTGCATTTTGTATAGATATGACTTCTCTGGAAGGCTTAACTGATGGGATAGGAACTTGTTTTAATGTTATGAGGTCCAGGGGAGTCTCTTGTCTCTCATTTTGAACAGAATATGTTACCTTTCTAACTGATTAAAAAAAATCTAATTAGTTCAGTTTAATTGTAGTGTTTCTTGGTACGCCAGGGAACATGGTACAGCCAGCTCCAAAGTTACTTGATTTTGCTATTTCAAGCACTCTTCTTCCAGCACATCCCGAGCATGGTATTCTAACACTCTTCCCCCCATGTCCCTGCCTTCCCTCCCCTTTTCACTGAAGTGAAAAAAGTTAATAAATATAGTTATTAAATATAGTGAAAGGCAGAATTGGATTTCAGGAGACAAAATCTAATTATGAATATCTTGAGGGGATTCTTTTGTTTAGTTAATATGCTGCTAAAGATAATAGAATTGAGAATATGTACAGGTCAAATACTAGTTTGTGCTATCAGTTTTGATGTCAGGAAGGTAGAATAGCACAAGGATCCTAGATCTTGAGAGCTGGCAATGTACTTTGTGCTCATTGTC